ACTTCCAGTATTTTAACCCTTTTTTGCTGTTTCAATAGCCCAGCCCATTTCAAAAACAATAAATTATTATATTTCATCATTTCAAATAATAACTGAAAATAGGACTGATGGACTCATTGCTGGTGCACACGTAAACATCATTATTTTTATAATTTATAGTAATACATAATATATATTACTAATTTGTAGCATAGAATAATAATTAGAATAAAATATGTTTAAAAACCTGATCACACAAGAGTACTTGTAATCAAGTTTCGACATTTGTCCATAATTAGAACTCTTTGTTACATCGCACCAGTTCTGAACATCAATAAAACTCCAAAAAAACAACCTCTCTGATCTACAACAACAAGTGTGTACTATTTTCATTTCATAATTAAACCAACAAACAATTCTGATTAAAATAAAGCAATACCAGCTTAAAGATTAAACTTTTTATTTACCGCACTAACAAATTCCTTAAGAAAAGCAGCGAATATCAATTTTATTTACGGGAAATCTTTAAAATCCCGCCACTATTCCATCTATCTGGCAGAATGAAATAAAATTTGAAACTATAACAGCTTTAGATCTATATTATACGGCACAGTATTTCCAACATAAAAAGTGGTTAACGTCCTCATTCTTGGATATTTAACTATTTTTCCTCCATAACTGGGTCCTCGTCCATTACTGGTGCGTTTACCCTAAATTGAATTCATTCAATTCGGCAAAAATCACGAGTGCTTTAAAAGACCGATTTAAAAACAAAGAGGGACAAAATACGTAAACAACCCGTGGTTAGAAACTATTCTGACTGCACGGTTGGTGCGGTGGCTGGGCAACTAGTTGCCGCGCAACGTGTCGCGAGTTGGATTCCCTCACGGGGCAACTTTTTATGTGATCCACAAATTGTTGTTCCGGGTGGTCTGGGTGTGATGTGTATGTGAAATTGTATCTTTGTGGCGCAAGGTTTTCTTTTAAAAAAGGTTTTTATTATTTTCACTGGAACTGGTAGATACCGTTATATTATACGATTAGATAATTATTGGTTTGTAAGAATACTGATATTTTAACTCGGTCCCTCAAGTGATAAAACTACTTAATTTCTACATAGGGTAATGAAAAATCTAATAAATACAAGTACCTATTACGACTTTCGTATTTCATTACTGCCATTACTACCCGCAACTAAAATCACACCTCATTTAGGTGCAAAATGTTTACCGGGATGACGACTTAATTTTGCTTAAAAAACCAGTACATCGCCCGCCATGTGTGTATTCTCCACGTGGCATCGCAAACAACAAAGACATTTGAAACAAGCGCTCTGCAACAAGAATAACAAAACACCGATAAGAACAAGTTTTTTTTTTATCAAACAATAAAATCTTACCTAGACGGCATCGAGCTCAAACTGAATAACATGAGGGTGCCGAAACCGACATCACGTACGACAACACCACCTCGAGACTATTTAGGGAGTACATATGTCGATATATTGTTTTTTTGTGAGATGAAAATCACTGACGTTGGACTGAAAGTCGCAGGTCTCAAGTGGAACTAGGCTGGACATTTTCATCCCCGTCTCACAATCTGGGCTGAACACCGGCTCTCTTAGGCCTAATATAGTGGAGGTCAGTTGGCTCATTGAGGCGTGCGGGACACGCTTCGCACCGTACGTATGGTTCTGGTTCTGGATAGGCGGCAAGCAGGAACGCGCTCGCAGTCCGCAGACCCGTGCTTAACGTGGTCGGAGGTCGATCGTAGTGGCTGTTTATATGTAATGCAAATGCATATCACCCACGCGTATTCTCTAATGGCGATTGCCAAGCATACTAGGATTAAGTTACATGATAGAATATTGATGATCGCAAAATCCAGGTATTTCAAAACTGTACTGTGTTAACTTTGAAAACTATCTTAGCCGTGAGTTTCGCTAGACAAATTGTGTTCCTAGGTGTGGAAATATAAGTTGGAATGTGTATGAAATTTAAAGAGACGAAGATTTTATTGCCACTACTACAGTTAAAGCAGTAAACGACAACAGAGGAAAATTATCCTTCTACGTTGGGGGATTTGGTAAAATCGAAGTTCCGAACAATGTCGTCGAATAATGGTGGATAAGGCTCTCATTATTTGACGATTAACTCAAGCCCAGAATGTTATGTTAATAAATATTACCTATAAACTAGCTTCCGCCCGCGACTTCCCGTTATTAGTTAAAATAAGATCTAATTAGGTACAGAAAATATAATAAAACCATCCGTAACGTTAACATCGGAGACATAGTAATAGGACTTTTAACTATTTAATTTTATTTTTACTTGGAGTTCGTTTTTTTTTGCTATCGGCTGCCTTTTGACAACTGGTAAAGCTACGGTAGGAAGCTAGTTTATAATATTAGTAGGATATGACAGTGTGTGAGAATGGATGGATATATTGCTTGGTTGTCTTTCTTACACGCACAAACGACTGGACCGATTTGGTTGAAATTTGGTACGTATATACCTAGATATAATCTGGATTAACTTAAAGGCTACTTTTTATCGATATAGCACGCAGGTGAATCCACGTGCAAAATCTAGTGTTGACCAAAAATTAGCTATCGCTTATTGATCGTGCCTTACTTTAAAATACTTAATTACTTAGCCAACAAACACAGGTTAATATTAGGTGCTAAACAAAAAAGTCACTTCCACAAATCTCCGTAGTTTTCCAGGATTTACCTAGAAAACAGATCATGGTCAGACTTAGTAACAGTGGGGAAAACTTAAAAGTAAGTTTAAGCTTTCAAATAAAAAACGAATTATCAGAATCCACTCTCTTCGTTGTTGTCGTTTTAAAAATAATCATTTCCATAACATAATCCTGTTCTTCCTATTATCAAACCCTGTTATTGTGACTGTCTGAGTTGATATTTACCCGCAAGAACAACTACTACAACAGCAAATCCTAAATATCTGTTTAATACCTGTTACAGTGTTACTTATATCTGATACTGAGACGATAAATACGCCAATAAAACAGTCTATGTATAATCTATGGTTAATGCTGATACTTCGCCTGTACTTTTAAGAATAGCTCTTTCTTTGGCTGACGTTCCATAAGGCGGGACGTCGTCAGTGCACAGCCGAGTCATGGTGAGCTTTTTATTCCAGTTTGTTTCCTTTTAAATGATCATGGTCATTAAAATTCCTAACTTTACGTTTCATGTATACGAATACGATATAATATTTGCACCAAAGGATGTTGATTTATGAATTGTCTTGTCTTATGGCGGCAGCGTTGGAATCGGCGGCATTTGAAATTTTTACCAGTCTTATTCGTTGTTCTTTCGGATACTCGCTGCGTACCTAAATGTATTAAAATGTAGCTATGATCCACCGCTACTTTTACTAATTCGACGCATTTGGAACAATAAGTTAAACACGTGTAGGTAGATTATCGAAAAAGTTATTTTAATCTACCTTCTACCTTCATCCGTTATTAAAAAGGGTGGGCAACGTATTTTAATAATTATTTAACACAACAACTTTCTTTTCTTTGTCGTGGGTGCGTTACCAACGTACAATTTCACATTTTTATAAATCAGCTCAACACCAAATTGTGGATCATCGAAACGGTGGTTGTTCCGTGCTGGAACACAACCCGCCACGTGTTGCACGGCAGCCAGTTTAATAGGGCAGTCAAAATAATTTAAGTAAATGACAAATTACTTATTGTAAAATCAATTGGAGGGTAAGTATTGCACATAATTATGAAATAAGTGAAACTAAACATAAAAACATAGCGCATAAAAGCGTAAAATATAACTTTATGGCGTGTGAATATACCTACTTACATAAAAAATCCAGCCAAGATAATAGTGCTTAGAAGATAGTAGTGGTAAGATGCCCCAACAGCCCATACTTACACCGTTATTAAGTACCTATCTACTATATCTATATAAATACTAGTATCTTTATAATTGGTATCAGCTTTGGCTTGGTCTATTTCAAATATAAATACAAATAAAGCAGTGAAAATTAATGATCTGAAGGTTTCATTGAGGAATACAGTTACACGTTACTATCATGAGATACTTAATTTAATTTAATACGAAGGGTCGCCCGCAGCTCCGTTCGTGTGGATGTTGATTTTGCACTTATGTAGTTTTTTTAAAGTTTTCAAACCTACGTACAAACCTTCTCTGGACTTCCACAAATAATTCAAGACCAAAATTAGCCAAAGCGGTAAAGGCATTACCTATTGCGTTATTTTTTTAAAAAGAGTGTCTATTTGTTCATAAAAATGTTTTTATGACCAAATAGACACTCTTTTTCGATTGTCGATTTCACCAGACACCCAGGCTACGAATGCGTATGGCCTATTCAAATACTTTAGCACGTCGATGTCTTTATAGTCGACGTGGCATGGCAGAGTAGGCCGCCCAAATTCGATTGAATCGAAGGAATTCTCATATTCCACAAGAATTACCAGAACACGCTAGACACAATGACTGCTTATAGCCCCTCGGTCTTTTGTATAATGTGGTTGGTTCTGGAGGCTGGAAGACCTCTAGCCTTCGTTCGAGACGCTTCGTGATGACCCTCAAAAATATGTTCTATACAAAGCTTAGACGCCAGGTTATCACCCCTTTTGGAGACCAGAACCACCACGCTTCTGGCGTAGTTCTTCAAATGTGTTGGAATTGAATAGGTTCTTGAAAGTACTTAGATACCTGCCCGTTTTCAACCTGCTTTTATTTTTTGAAAGCTCTAATACTAAATAAGTATTTTATAGTTACGATCGATTTGATGTCAAATCACATGATTTTCTTATCTCTGATTATTCGCCGTTTAAAAGTAACGTTATTTATTCACAATGGATTTGTGAAGATATTATTAATAATCTTCTTAACACAGGTCTAATGTTGTTACACACGTCACACAATCTGATAACTTTTATACTCGTATTATGTGCAAAACAATACATTTTCGACCAAAATTTCTTTTGTTTTTAGGTGAGTACCCAACATGGATTCAACTATGGATGATGACAATGGCCAATCAAAGACCCATGGTGCCAGTCGCTTCTCTCTGGGTTACAAAATTGGTCCAAACGACGATTTGATTTATTCCTCTGGATTTGATAAACATTATTCGTCGCAACAATACTGCGTGAATCACCCACCTATTCGAGAGACCGGCATTATTGAAAAACTTTTGCACTCCTGCGGATTTATTCAGTGCTGTAAGAGACAGGCTCGGCTGTTCTTTAACTTTAGCCAATTTAGCGGTAATACTGAAAATATGAAGATAGGAGACCCTGTTGAGTTCGAGTTGCAGTATGACCGTCGCACTGGAAAGCCAATAGTTTCAACGGTGACCAAGATTGCATCTGTGGTATATAATGTACCTTTATCTACCCCTACTTATGTGTTTATATTGCGGCAATGAAATAAATGTTCGTATTTTTGTTTCATTCAAGGTGTTAAGAGGAACCCGCGCTGGCGGAGAAATAAAGGAAAAGGGTGACAATACTGGAAAAAAATCGCATGAAAATGTTCGTGAATCGTTTTTACCTTCTAAAGACGACATTGAGGGTAGTGCCACTTTGCTTACTGGTGACGCTATCAGTTTGCAGAAAGCAACAAATCAGCGGTAACTTCCGAATCTAAATAATAATTTGCATTTAATATTAGTTGATCTGTCGAATAACAGTTATAACATTACAGAGGTACATTCGGAGCGTGTCATTCCCGCCTTCAAAATCCCGCGCAACCTGGCAAATATCACAGACTGGTTGGTTCCATAAAGGAAAACTTTGATTTCATTACTAAAGGGGACCTAGTTTTGGGAGATGATGTAGAATACTTCAATAAAACTGGAAAAGTAAGATTTATACAAACTTAGATTTATTATAATGATGTACATATTAAACAGTATTTATTAATAGAACTATTCTCGTGTAGGGAAAGGAAGTGGCTTGTAACAAAATGAAATTGTCAAGCGGTACCGTAGTGCGCGGGCAAATGTTGAAGCCATTGGAGCGCAGTTTCTTTCTACGCGCGACTCGTAACGTCTCCTCTGATAGAGGTACGTACCTTGTCTGCTTGACATTATAAAGAAAACAAGTAACTTCTATTCATCAAACACGTGCCTGGTCTCCGAGGTTTGCTATATAATATAGCTTTGCCTCACAACTCCGTCTTGGTAATGGTAGAACGCAAATATATGTAACTTCAGTTACCTATGTGTCGTGGTGGCCCGGAGGTTAACGAGCCCACTTCTCATGCATGAGGGTGCGGGTTCGAAACCTGGCAAGTACCAATGTGACTTTTTCTGAGTTATATGTACTTTCTATGATTATTTAGACACCACTGACATACGGTGAAGGTAAACATCGTGAGGAAACCTGGACTTATAATTTCTAATTATAAGTTTGAAATCGCCAACCCGCATTGAGCAAGCTTGGTGATTAATGCTCTAACCTTCTCCATATGAGAAGAGGCCTTTGCTCAGCAGTTGGCACTTATAGGCTGATGATGTTGATGATGTTGATGTCAGTTACCTATCCTGTTGACCTCAACGGTAAATGTGATGGATGCATTTGGCCTATGACATGCCCGATATATGTCAACCGTCCCGTTTCCATATCAAATGTCTGGTAGTTATTTGTAAAGATTAAGTACTGAATCGACGCCAAATTCAATACCATGGCAGTGAGGAGCGTGGGATTGGAAGAAGCGTCCGTGAAGCTCCTTGCCATTTTTTATTTAGGTATTGTTCTTTTTCTAGTTTAACATTATTGTGGAGGTGAACATTAATGATTGATAGCATTAACTTCTAGGTGAACACACTTTTTCATAGATACTACTTACTTAATTTCTGTCTGTATTCTGAAAATACATTTTGTAATATGTTGGTATATTTAAATAATATATTAATTGTTTTGATTACAGAATTTCAACAAGATTTCTCGATATGACGAGGCCTCGTTTAATTTTAGAATTAAGTCTTACCAAATTAAAAACATAAAAACTATTTAAACTCAAAATATTAAGAACCGATTGTTAGAAAAGTCGTCACCAACTTAACTGACAAATTTTACAATGCTTACCAATATTCAAGAGAAAGAAAAATAGGGATGTGGATAATGGATAATCAGATATCAGAAACAGTAAGTATAACTAATGAATTAAAAGTTATAATGTTCCGTAATTTTGCGCGAGGCGCTTGTAAGAAAGGAGCAGTCTATATATTTGCTCGTTATTAAATTTATTTTCATTATCTGGCTGGCGTATATACGTTTTGCTGGAACTTCCAAAAACTGTTATACGGGCAAGCAAAAAGAATACTTTTTTAGATCAGGCTATTTGCTTCCACACGCATTAGGAACATTACAAAGAGTGCACCGCTTCACAACCAGATGAGAAAACTCCACAAGCAGGTAAGAACGCTTATTTCAATGAAGTAATTGATGTAATATCACCACCGCCTACTAAGCCGTTACCACTACTACTACTGTTTTACTTATCTATTCTACTTAATTTTATTTTTAATGTTATATGTAAATTAGAAGAGATATTTTTATTAAAAAATTTTGGCCATTGGGCGGAGTCCTTGCGCACATAATAAAACCTAATTTTCTTATATACATAATACCTACCGGTTATATAAATATATATATATACCCGGTATCAAAATACATAGCCGGCAATCGTTGTCAGACGAGGACAAAGATTGCCGGCTGTGCGACGCTTTTAAGCCAATATGCATGCATCGAATGTTGTTGTTCTCAACCACCAGATGCATTATTTAGAAAAATGGGGAATGAAAAACTTCGACAACAACCACTGTGAATATTGTGATTTTTGATACCTAAGGTATTTTTATTGCATAAAAATACGGTATTTGACAAGTTTTGGAAGTAGTTTTTTAATGATTCTTTTTTGTTTATAATAAACGTACAAAATGTATCTAACTGCGAAATTAACAGTATTAAGTATCTAATTATTAGGAGAAAGTAAAGGTACCTAAATATTAAAGAATATTAGGAGAGCCATGCTTGCAGAATCAAATCCATGTTGAATGGTATAATATCTGACTATAATGATTAAATGACAAGACTGTGTATTGGCAAGCCCAGCGATTCTAAGTATTTGTTGATTTTGTCTCCAGTCAGCAGCTCTACGGAGGTTCCACTGCTCAGCACTGGTCAGTCTCGCGCAAAGAAGTGCGAAATGTGTGAAAGTACAGAAATCAGGTATAAATTTGTATCAATTAAATGCTGCAGCTGTTCAGAACACGAATGTCTTACCATTGCTATACATATACCTATACTAATCGTAATTAACACGGTTTTGAGCAAATGGCTAGATAATATTTTTGTTGGGTGGTTTTCAATTGTATCATTTGAATTTGACATGAATATGTATATCTTTTAATTAATATCAAAAGCTATTTTATATACATATTTAACATGTTCATGTAGGCTTTATTAGATATTAATTTTCTGACGCTATTGTATTCCACCAGGGAGGCTCTATCTCCGTGAGGAGTTACCCAAGAAAAACGTTGAAAGCCACAGGCAAAACGTTGAAGAACTAAATAAAATAATCTTGTGCACGAAGAATGCAATAATCTCTTCAGTTGTTGCTGCACTTTTCAAACCGGTTAGTATACAATTTTAATAAAAGCATTATACACTTCTGGACACATCTAATGGCCTACCTTGAATTTTCAGTATCGTTTGGTCCTTGCTTAAATTTTATATTAGCTCAAGAAGTTTTTATCAAGGATGTATAAAACTATAGATACGTTGTTCGCGCTCTAAAATGACAACATGAAATGAAGGCAATTGACAACATCGCGCTTAGTTACGCACCAACCTGCCGCGCGACGCTACGTTTGTTTTTAATTTATATCGTGTGTGTAAACCTGTGCGAAACATAAAGAAAGCATGCCGTCGTGTGTGTTCAGACGATGTATAAATTATACCCCAAAAGTTAAAGACAAAAATGTGTCATTTCATGCGTAAGTTCACCAAACAACCTATTTTTATTTTATTTTTTCGACGCCGGCGTCCGCCATCTTATGGCGGCCGGCGCATGAAAGTATAGTTACGTGCCGATGTAACTGAAGATGTATATTTATCTCCCTCTAGCAAAGGCATTCCACTATACGATGTCATATTTTCTTTCCCTCTCTTTACTTGTAGAAGTAGTTATCTAGTATTTTCGCCGTTTTTAAGCGCCGCAATGTTGGTCCATGACGTGTCTATATATAATACGTCATTGGTTTTTATCCAGTTTTGAACCTGGCACATTCACAATTTGATTCAATAGTCTTTTTTTTTAATTTAGAACACAGAATTTAAAGAAACAAAAGACAATTTGGAGCTTGTTTGTTGATATTAAACAATCGAATTAAATTTGTATCACTGCTGCTGCTTCTGTTCAGAACACGAAGTCAAGTATGACTAAGTATCTTAATGTCTTACCATTGCTATATAATTACAAAGCATGCGTAGCTGTACTCAATCTGCTCTTATGCTTCCTTTTGTGCCAGAACGTTAAATTTCATTGAATGCGCGAAACTTATCAATTTATAATGTGTTTATAATTATGTTTATTATGAGATTGACTTCACCCCGGTTTTGAACAGCTGGCTAGATTACATTTTTGTCTTCAACAGAATCTGGCATGAATCTACTACATAGTATAAAGAGAAGGGCAGTAGGCTAACTCCGACCCTAAGACGACCCACTGACCCTATTTTCGGCCTTAGGGTTGTCACTTTTACCAAAATTTTTAGTCAGTGCCTATAAATTGGCAAGGGTCGGGAAGTGGTATTTTTTACTTGTATTGTCTGGGTACAGGGTTTGTGAGGTGTGACTCTTTATGTCGCTAGATGGCACAGGCGGTAACATAGACTAAGAGCTATTAGTGTTAATATTATTTTCTCATTGTATTTTTTTAGGCATAATGTAGTATTTTTTTGCACATATTGTTAAGACACCCAAACACACAGCAATACGTTCTCCTGTGATTATCAGACATTTTGTTTTGATTTATCGGTGCCGAAAAACAGTGACGCGCGAACCTCGTGCAGTGTTAGCCCCGACTGGTGGCGCACTGAGAAACGAGTCGAAATTTTGTTACAGTGTGCGTGCGTCGACGCGTAGATACTATGGCGCACATATGTTTTTATAAAGATTATTTTACTTTCCTTCTCTTTATACTGTGTCTACTATATTGGTGTTTTGTATAATTTATTACCTACTCAACTGCTTTGAAGTGATTCTATATTATATATTGACTTTTATTTATATTAGCATAAGATTGCGTATAGCCTTCTACGAGTAGTAGATAATTATTGATTGTCATTCTTTAGAATTATGTGAATAAAGTATAAGAAAAACTTTTTCAAAACTTGCGAAATGTATTGTCATAATATTATTTATAGCCTGTATATATCAGCAATTTGTTTTATTATGTTTATCTTGTAATTACTAGCACAAGCTATTTTATAACAAATTTTAACATGTTCATGTAGGCTTGATAAGAGACTATCGTTCTGACGCTCTTGTGTTTCTCAGGGAGGAGTTGTTGAAAAGAAAGGTTGAAAGTCACAAGCAAAAGGTTGAAGAACTAAATAAAAAATCACGAAGAATGCAAGAATATCTTCAGTTGTTGCGGCAATTTACAAACCGGTTACATAGGTTAGTTAGAATTGTTATCACAATTTTAGTACATGATATATGTATGTTTATGTATAAGTTAATTTCTCGAGTCTGCGGACAGTGCGCAAGAGTACCTCGCTGCCCGAGCAGAACCAGATCCGATCGTACGGCTCGTACCGTCACGCGGGTGCTTCACAGATACCAATACACCGCAATGTAGTTGTACCGTGACTACACTGCAGAAGAAGGGGTTCAACATGGTTAATGTTCAGTCGGGGTAGCCGTGCGGGCAAGTACACAATAATGTACCATGCCTAGTCCTTTTACTCGTTTAGTAACTAAGTACTTAGATATTTTAAAGCACTACAATTTTACGAAGGTCTGAATTTGACGTGATGATGGAGCCGAAATATAGACGAAAGGACTTGCGGGGCTTTCAGCGCAGTTTTAGCTTGATTAACTTGCATCACCGAGAAGTTAACACCTAGATGATTAGTTAATGTTATGAGGGGTCTGGTGATGAAGAATAATTCATCACAATAGCTAAGAAAACTCTTCAACGGATAACAGTAGCTACCTTGTGTTTTCTGCTACCTTTCCTTAATTATACCGTGTATCATGTTATATAAATTTATAACATATTCATGTAGGCTTGATAAGATATTATAGTTCTGACGCTCTTGTGTTTCTCAGGGAGGAGTTGTTGAAGAGAAAGGTTGAAAGTCACAAGCAAAAGGTTGAAGAACTAAATAAAAAAAAAATAGGCTTTTGTGCACGAAGAATGCAAGAATATCATCAGTTGTTGCCGCACTCTTTAAGCCGGTTAGTATTCAAATTTGACAAAAGCGTTGTATCTGGGTGTTCTACGATATGGCCACAAAAGTGGCCTTTCAATTTTGTAAAAGTGAGATTTAATTAATTTTGTCGAATGCTGCTTTATTTTATTTTTCTAAATTACTATGCATTCTTACCTGTAATAAAAACCGCGAATATGAAGTGACACGTTGCATATACCTGTCTACCGTAGCACTTTGACAACGTGTAACCTGTACGTCTTTCAGTATTCTGAAAACCTTGTTTTATACTATTTACCGACTTCAAAAAAAGGAGGAGGTACTATGTTCGGCTGACTGGTTTTTTTGTATGTTTACCGATTACTCCGCCGTTTATAAACCGATTTCCAAAATTCTTGTTTTGTTTGAAAGGTTATACACCCGAGAGGGTCCCATTTTCATGAGGTCAGGATCTGATGATGGAACTTTAGGGAAACCGAGGGGTAGTTTCGAAAATTGTAGGGGCGAGTAGTGATTTTGCATGTTGTTTTAGTAGGCTTTTTACAAAGCTACAACTTGCCGATGGTCGAACTCGACCTGATGATGGTGCCTTAAGACCGTCGAGGGATCTCCTGCACTATTTGGAGTAGTTTCCTTGTGTTTGGGCTTGAATGATTCGTATTGGTGAGCATTTTGCACCAAGGTTGGTCGTCACTGTCATTAGGGGTCTGATAATGAGAACGAAGGACAGCTCAGGGAACTCCTGAACGGTTCACAGTAACTACCTCGTGTTTGGACTTAATTCATTTATATCGATGAAAACTCACACACCAATGTGGGTTACAATGAAGCTATGGAGTAAATCTGATGATGGAGCAGGAAGACTGTCGTGGGATCTTTTTGACCATTTGGAGTAATAACGTTGTGCTTGGACTTAATTCATTTATATTGGTGAGAACTTTGCACCTATATGGATTATGTAAGTATATTGAAGGTCTGCAGTGGACATGATGATGGAGACCACTGACAGCCGAGGGAATTCCTCACGATTTACAGCACTGGATACTGACCAATTCAGTACTTCTATTACCGTGATTTTCGGTCTCAAGTAGTCGTCGTCTTTTCATTCGAAAACCATTATACTTGCTTGCTCTGCCTACTACACTTAAAATGGTGAAATAAATAATTTTTAACAAAAATATTCCGACTTCAAAAAGGAAAATAAATTGTAGAAATTAATGCATGTTTTCATTTAGTTAAATAGAAAATAATATTAATAACCAATTTAATAATCTAGTAAATTTGATTTTCTTATGACAAAAGTTAAGCTGTAAAAAATATTTACCAACACGCTATTTTGTTTGCCTTCGCCTTCTAAATGGCTTGGTTTTTTTTAATAGATCAATCGGTGTTAAATTTTACTACAAAGTGGGCAGCACTTATGTAAATCGGTCAATATTTTGCAAAGAACATGTTATTATTATTGGGATTTCCATATATAAAAATCAGGCGGACGCAGCCCTCACCAGTCGTGCTCTAGTATGCTCAAGGTCATTGAGGGTACTATACGCCTTAACTTCTGGGGTTCAGTGGCGATTTACTATTATACGGTATATCTTTTCAAAACTTTCTGTTAGTATTTTTTTTTGTAAATATGGATATAGACATGTATGAAGCAAACCATGAGGAATTAAATCGTGTCTAAACTTTTGTTTCAATTGTATATAATTATTTGTTTATTTTGTCTTCAGTCAGCAGCTCTACGGAGGTTCCACTGCTCAGCACTGGTCAGTCTCGCGCAAAGAAGTGCGAAATGTGTGAAAGTACAGAAATCAGGTATAATATACTCAGGTATAATATATCATTAGCTGCTGCAGCTGTTCAGAACATGAATGTCTTACCATTGCTATATAATTACAAAGCATGAGTAGCCTAACTCAATCTGCTCTTATGCTTTCTTGTTTGTGCCAGAACATAACATTTCATTGAATGCGCGAAGCTTATCAATTTATGTTTATTATGAGATTGACTTCACCGCGGTTTTAAACAAATGGCGAGATAATATTTTGGTTTGGTAGTTTTGAATCTGTCATTCAGCTTCATGTCAGCATGAACATGTTTATCTTGAAATTAATATCAAAAGCTATTTTATATTAATATTTAAGATGTTCATGTAGGCTTTATTAGATATTAATTTTCTGACGCTCTTCTCTTTTATCAGGGAGGCTCTATCTCCGGGAGGAGTTACCCAAGAAAAACGTTGAAAGCCACAGGCAAAACGTTGAAGAACTAAGTAAAATAATATTGTGCACGAAGACTGCAACAATCTCTTCAGTTGTTGCGGCACTTTTCAAACCGGTTAGTATACAATAAAAGCATTATACACTTCTGGCAAAGAGAATCTTTGACTTCTGGACACATATATTGGCCCACCTAGTATTTTCAGTTTCGTTTGGTCCTAGCTTAATTTTAATATTAGGTCGAGCAAAAAGTTTTTATGCAGTTTTGAATCTGGCACATTAACAATTTCATTCAATAGTCTTTTTTGAATTTTGAACACAGTATTTAAAGAAACCAAAGACAACTTGGAGCCTGTTTGTTAATATCAAACAATCGAATATTAAGAAAACTTGGTTTTATTGGTTTACTTGGATTTAATTCTTATAAAAGTGTGTAATTTTTTTAAAAAAATTTTTTTTTAATGTACTCCGTCGGCCAACGAGCAGACGGATTACCTGATGGTAAGCAATCAGCGCCGCCCATGGACACCCGCAACGGAGGAGTTACAAGTGCGTTGCCGACCTTTTAGGGATTAGGGATTTGGAGATTTAGGGATTGAGGAGGGATTGAGGGAGGGGAAGGATTGGGCCTCCGGTAACCTCACTCACACGGCGAAACACAACGCTGTGGTTGTTTCACGCCGGTTTTCTGTGAGGCCGTGGTATCACTCCGGCCGACCCATTCGTGCCGAAGCATGGCTCTCCCACACTTAAATGGCTTAGCAACAAATGCTTGTATCTTTGGTTTAGCAACAAACATTACTTATCCTCAACATTAAGGTGAGGTTCTATCAATAATCTGAGGAAACTTCAAGCCGCCGCCCAAGCTGTGACACTTATTCAGGTCGGACACAGCCAAAGAAAAGTCAACAGCTCAACTTAATTTAAGTGACTTACATTATGTCGATCTGTGGTCCGAAATGTTTATCGGAGGTACCTAGAAACTGGCGGCTTTATTCGACGCAAAAAAAGGCCACGATCTCGGGTCATAACTGAAAGGTAGGATCGATTTATCGTGACGACCAGCTTGAGAAATCGTCACCTTACCTCCAGTGAGATACAAAACCAACTTCGCGACTTCCACGGAGTATCTGTGATCACTCGAACTGTCGGAGAAGGTTAAAAGAACGCGATATGGTACCACACAAGCCAGCTAGAGGGCCCAAAATAACGCGAGCCCATCGAACAGCGCGCCTTCATTTCGCACGTTTTCGTTTAAATTGGACACAGCAAGATTGGAGCTGTGTACTCTTTTCTGATGAGTTTAAAATTGTATTACATGGCAATGATGGAAGGAAGAAGGTCTGCCGACGTAAGGGAGAGCGTTTTGCACAATGCTGCTTTGAAGAGAGGGTTGCATATGGCGGTGGCTCATGGTCCGTCTGCGGCCGGCATCGTCAGGGAATATCTTCGGGATGTGAACATCACAGTTATAGACTGGCCAGCCAGAAGCCGAGACATGAACCCCATTGAGCACATGTGGGATGAGCTAAAAAGACGTGTTAGGGCTCGTCAGTCAGTTGCCCAGACGATGCAGGAGTTGAAAACTGCTATAGAAGAGGAATGGTAGATGATCCCTCAAAATTTCATAGAGCGGTTGATAAACTCTGCCTAACCGACTGAGAGTTGTGGTAGATACGAAGGCTACACGCGTTATTAAATTAACGCGTGTGCGTTATTAAATTAAACCTTTATTTGATAAAACATGATTTTTATTCAAAAATCAATTGCCTTTAACGAGGCGCATATCCGACTTGTTAGACGTAGCTCCATGTCGTATGGTATTCTGAATTCAAATTTAAAACAATACAATCGAAAAAGATGGTAAATCGTATCATTTTTAAAACTGCATGATTAGTTTTTTTCAATCTAGCAATCATATTTCAGTAGGGACCATCGAAACCTAAACTCTAAGGTAAGTCAATAGATGTGTCCAGAAATGTAATAGGTTCTTCTACCTATATATGCCAAGAAAAATCAACTACCGCTGTCTCTGGGCAGCAGCGTAACGTAGCGTAGATAAACTTTTTGACTGCACGGTTGGCGCAGTGGCTGGGCTGCCGAGCAACGTGTCGCGGGTTCGATTCCCGCACGGGACAACACATTGTGTGATCCACAAATTGTTGTTTCGGGTCTACGTGGCTTGTGTATGTAAATTTGTGTCTTTGTAAACGCACCCACAACACAGGAGAAAATCTAATCTATTGTGGGGCAACGTTTTTTTACAACAAAACACATAGTCTGGTGCCAAAGCTATACTGCTGTATCGGCCTGGATTAGACGACGGCATGGAGTAGTTTTTACTCAGTAAAATTTGATGCTCTTTCTCGCCCTATCTAGGGCGTCAGAAGGGATTTGCAGCTTTTCCACCCTGAAAATGTCGCGTCAATATGTTCATACACATGTAGTTTTACAAAACAAAAACGATTTAACAAAATTAAAACCATTAAATAAATTAAAAATTAAAACCACATTCATTTTAAATTAAACACCAATTAAGTTACACATTAAACATTAATTTAACCTAATTGGCATAAATTATTAATTTTAATTATTTACTTTTATTGTAAAAAGGTAGATTACAAAATATAATCTTAAAAACAAGAACAAATTTCAATGTATAACACCAACTTGATGTTCCTATTTCGAATTTCAGGGTTTGCTGGCTACCCAACTTCATGACGTTCCTGGCGAAAATGCTGAGTCAACACTGGTAACAGCAGATGCCTCGTGATATAAATAATATAAGATATCACTTCTAGGTTTTTTGTAATATGTCAACAAAATAAGTTGTTCTTGTATTAACTGAGAGAAACTCGTATAGTTTGAAGTCACAACGGCAATTCTGTTCGTGAGCAGCGTGCGCGTGTGCAGCCGACTGATTACTCTCTTATGCGCCCATCGCGCTCTTTACCGACAATCGAGCGCTTGCTTCCAACTGCGACAGGAGCGGCTGTGTAAGCGACAATAGACGCCCTGCGCGTTTAGCAGCGTCGGTTTTGGTGTCTCAAAATTACATGCCACGCTTCCCTTGTCTCAGTCCAAGTTGATAGCACTGTAGATCGACGTACATTTCAAGCCCGGCTCTAACCGGGTGGTACTCTGCCTATACACCGTTTCTGTTAAAACACAGACGGCGTTTTATCTTGATGGCCTTCCGCCGTTCCGCGGGATGATGTATTTCTGCCTTGCTTGTATGGAAACTTTCGAAATGCGTGAATTGGACCGCGTCCTAACCAAAACGTGCTCAACCATTGCCGATGTCTTGTTATCTTCGCCACGTTACGTAGGTACACCTTCCTTTACCCTGGTTGCAATATTAGGGCGAGTTTCCCTGATTTAACCTGTGCCTTAAATGCACAGATCCATTCGCTGTACCCGCAGTACATCGTAATGCTGTGGCTCGATCATTTACATCGGAGAAACTCGCCGAAATATCGCAACCAGGTTAGAGGAACATATACATAGCGTGAAGGAAATGGATGATAATGAACCATGCATAGTCGGTGGCCAAGCACGTTTGTTGTACGGACGCGGTTCCTTCCATACGTTTCGATTAGGTCTCCGTACTAGCGAGGTAGGAATACTTCGTGTCGCAGAAAGTACAGGATGCCATCGAGATAAGCGGCATCCGTGCTTTAATAGACCTTGGCTAGACATTGTCACCCACTTACAAACCAGGCCTGAAGTCTTATGTCGTTCTCGAGCGTTTTCAACTTGAAGTGTGGACTCGGTAACCGTGGCATGTACCACTGATTTTGTGAACACCAACGTCGCTTAACGAGCCGAGCCTTTAACGTCGCTCCTAACACCGCCGCACCCGTCACAGTTGGAACAAGCGCGCGCGTTTGCCAGCAGAGGACGCGGTGGGCGTACATGCATAAGTTCGAGTCACCAATCGGCTCCATGACATCGTCGCGACGTGCAAGCTGTTCATGAAATGTTATGTAGAGATCCAGAGGTTTGTAGCCTATAGGCAGGCAGTTTCAGGTCACAGCGAGTAAGTCTCGTTGTGACCTGAAACTGGTAGAACTTTCTTAGTTCTGATGAGTAAGTCGTTATTGTTACGTACTACATACGCGACACTTACGTGCGTAGCCTACAAGCCTCTTGATCTCTACATTGCAGGAATTCATTAAAAAATATAATTTGAAAAAGCCATACTTCTCTGTAAAGATACAATTCAAAGTGCAGTGCTCCTCAAAGGCTGAAGTAAATATAACACACGTAACAAAATTTATGCATATCTTAAGGATCATCAGGACAATCTAAAATTTTACGATATCATTCTTCAATAATTATCCGTAATGCTAAAGCTCAAATCTTAAAAAAAAGCTGAAGCCATTCTTGCATTCTTTTTTTTATTGTCTGTAACGGACACAAAACACTTTTTAAAATTATTCTTAGAATCTAAGACTCATTTAGATATATCTAAATAAGTCCTAGATTTTGAAAATCCAGTCCTAAAGATGCGATAAGTCGAATTATCCTTAGAAACTGGTTTCGATTTCAACTCTTATTACGTGGAACTAAATGATATAGATTCTTAAACATTATTTATACCAATCCCGTGCTGGTTCATCTACATAAAAAATAGACTCATTTTATTATTGGAAAAATTCAAATACTTACTATAAGATGGGGCTGACTTAATATAAGTATTTGTACTCTAGAATATTACTAAGCATTGTAAAATATTTTATACATTAAATATTTAATTAATATTGATAATTGACTGCGCATTGCAAATTTACATAAATATTGACAAAAAATAATACTGTAATTAAAACTGTAGGCCTACCATGACGCGTGTCTTCTCAGTCTTCCGGCCGAGAAAGAGGGAAGAAGCTAAGCTGCAAAAGGTGTATAGCTCCATCCCTCTTTCTCGTCTGGAAGATTTACGCTTCAACACGTCATGGTAGGCCCTCTGTACTTGAATATACAGTTACTAATTAAGGCAGTATTTCACTAAACTTGTATTGTTCTTTTATTTTGAGTTTATTTATTTCCGTCATTAAAAGTAACTTTAAAAATAAGTTCCTTACATTTTTGCGATTTATATCTGCCAACTGCTATGGTTCCCATTAGTGCGATACTTAGGTGTTGATGCTAAATCTACTTATGTTACCGAAAATGTGTTCGTCAGTTTGTGATTAAATGATTACCTATAAGAATTAAGTGTTTTTCTTAAACTTTTATCAGTGAGTATACGTACAATAAGTTTGTGATAACGTAAAGGAAATTAATAAACGAAGAAACTTTGTCGTTATACTTATTCAGTACGGTAAAACTGGGTCAATATAATTCGAGGGGTGAATAGACACAATAGAGGGGTAAATACTAGGGCAATTCGCTAACATCTATTCACCTCATTTTAAGGCATATGTATATAGTTTATATAAATAGTTATTTTATATAAATTTTATATTTTTTGGTTTTTTTATTAACTTTATCGAATGTGGTGTGATAAACACTGATGACAAAGAAAAAATCTTTTACTGCAAATGCTAATAAATTTAAATACATTTCATATATTATTCAGCATACAAGTACTCAAATAACAAGATACCTACTATGTGACTGCCGTTATGGAAATCCTTTGCGAACAATGTTAACAATAAAAAAGTCGTATCCAATACTAGATGTATTGTTGAACTTCCCACATTAATCAAAATTAGAGAATTCAAGTCGTTGACGGGGGAATAGCTGTCGCTCCTGTGTACCTAGGCTCTCTTTTATAAAGAAGCCTATAATGTAGTACCAACATTAAATAAATTATATTAAAAAAAATATTGAAAGTTGGCTAAGCATGTCTCGATTAATATCTAGGGGCCCACGATTTTGACTTTCCAGTAAAATGCCACCTGAAAATAGTAAAACTAAATTTACTAGAGGAGAAAAATGTTTATTTATTCATCTAATTGTTACTTTCAGTTTGTTATTATTAATGATAATTATATACTTCGTACATCTCTGTCTCGTGAACCATACAAAAACAGACGTGTTGAAGATATACAGGCGGTCATACGATAAAAGTAAGCTTTTACTCTAATTTCGCAATTTTAATGTTCTTTTATTAATATTAATACAGAAGACGACTAGGTACATTGCTTACTACCGGAACCGAGAGTAGAGAATAGGACACTATGTTTTAGATGTAAAATCTTGCTATTAACCAAAGAAATTAAATGTAGGTATTATTTTTTTTTTGTTTCTCAAACATTAAATAAGAAGTTTTTGAAGTTTATAAAAAGATTCGTTGCGAGTCTCTAAGTACATGTTAGTAACTTGAATTTCTTAATCGACTGATGAACTTTGATTACTTAAGTTAAAAAATTCTTACCTAATTCGTTCACACTGGCATGTAGCAATATAAATAACAAACAAAATATCAAAAAGAACATAAGTTTTGTAGTTTCGGATATTCGACCGAAATTAGCTACGAGATGAGCTACGTACTGCTACGCCGTAGTACGTTGCGTTAGTTATTAATTTATGTCTATTTACAAGTGGTGGAGTGACCGTCTATTAAAGGTTGTGCTTGCGATAATGACTTTACTGGTGTTACGATACCTGGTAAAATACCAACGCGAATTTTTCTAAGTTCACATTAGACAACATTCTCATTTGGCGAAATAAAAAAACGTGGGAAATTGAAAACAACTGTATGATAGTTAGTTAATTAGCCTTGGCTTATAACTGATGAATACATTATTCAATAGTAAAAGTATTCACAAAAATATTTTTCATGCCCTTTTTCGAGTAATTATTATGTCTTTTTATTTAATAAACATAATCATTCGTGAACTACACATGAGGGTACCAACGACGATCGAGAGACGATCTCCGCCTTCAATTTTTATTTTTAAAATATAATCAATAGCACTAATTCGAAAATATGAGATCGTGTCTCTTTCATCTTTTAGAGCAGAAGGGGCTCAGACAGAATTCCAAGTAAAATGTTTAATGTGCCTAAGTATAGGTTTAATCTTATTTAAACGACTACGCAGTTCTTTTAAATAATAACACCTTAGCCACTGGTATTAAATAGACACGACATATCAACATTTTCTCTAAAAACAGTATACAATTTGGAAGCGTATAACAGTGTTGTGACCATGTCAATAAGAAAAGCCGGTCTGTTTCTTAATATATAGGTACCTATGAACTTGTAAATAACAAATTTTAGTAAGTATGGTATGCTAAATTTGTGCTAGGCAGAAGCATTGCCTTCTCCGGTTCTATAGGCTCCGGTTCGACAAAGTAACTAGAACCTGGTTGTAATGAATGATGCGTGTGTACCTTGTACCTTCTACGTAAAACATGTGTCCAAAATCAGTTTTCGGTGCGCTTGTTACAGAGGTCATTCATTTTGCAGGTCTGACCGATCTGTCACTCTCGGATTACCAATCTGTCGGCGTGATGTTCCTGAATACAACGCCTCCTATCGTAGTTTGTAACACGTTGTTGCTGGGGAAACGCTGGTCGCTAGCTCCTGCACAGTGTACATCGATGCGAGACGATCCTAATATGTTAGATCACCTACGGCAGTGGAAACTCAAATACAAATTCGATGGAAAACAAACAAGTGAGTCACGCAGTGCCCCTTTGAGTTTTAACAATTTTTAACAATTGTTAGGACATTGTTACATTCAGTAAGAATAGTTGAATATTTTCAGTACAACATTGACAGTACCTAAAAAAGTTTATTAGTATGTTTTAGGTACATAAAAGTTAAAAATTATAAAATCTGAAGTCTTTCGTCACTCCAAACCAGTGATGTCCATTGGCTGCGCAGCACCGGTTCCTTACCCACAAGTTATCTGCTTCAGGCCTGCTTGGTCGCTGATCTTTCCAATGAAAAGTCTTGGTGTTCTTACAAATGGATCTATTTTCCTTTCACCACACAAATTTAATTTAAAAAAATACATGACAAATTATGTTCTACTAAAAACAAAAATATCAAAAAGGAGTGTAATTTGGATTACACTTTTTTACCTAAATTAACAATTTTTTTACCTAAATATTTCTCTTTTGAAATTTTTTTTTTTCTATAAAGTGCAAAGTTGCAATTCGACACTATGAACTCACTCACTCAATAACATGACCAATCATTAAATTTTAATACTAAGTACCAGTTATTACCTAACTGTAGTCCACGACCATGACCGGGGATTAGGGTCGCTAAAGCAAAGTAGGACGAAGGAATCTAGCCCCGATCGAAAATTACAATCTGGCACAGAAATGTCGATCTTCATCTAACAACTAGCTCATCCAAAGGACGTTTATATCGGACTTATATGTTACACTGTAAATAAAAAATAAAAAAGAATAAATAACATTGCATCCATATACAAATGTATGTACGACGGCAATTTGATTGTCGACACGATAAAAATTTGTTTCATTACAAAAATATTCTCGGATTCCGCAGTACTAGGTTGGAATATTCACAATCGAATATTTTTCGATTTTATTACATTTTGCATTGAATGACTTCGTAAGAATCTGTTATAAGTTGAATTTATAGGTTCACAATATCAAACTAGGAAAATAACTTTGAGGTGCGGTTGTTAAATGTAAGAGGATGGGTTTTTCGGTTTGTTCACAGCAGGGGTTTTTTTTGTAAGGGGAAAATCATCGTGATTTCTCCCGCCCAGGGTAGGGCAGGAGGGAGTGTCAGACTCTTACTGACTATAAACCTCCCGTTCCTTCTCCTGCTGTAGGCCGAGGCCGCGGTGACTCATTGCGCTTATCCCACAACCCCGGCTGAAAACTAGCCCCATAGGAGCCCGTCTGTGATGGTCTATTGGCTCTTTGGGGCGCGCGCGATACGCTACGCGCCGTCGCTCGGATTTGGTTCTGGTCGGGCGGCAAGCTACCCTTACTCGCCTTCCCCAGACCCGCGCTCATGGCAGGGGTAAGTCCACCTTACTGCTTACCGAACGGATTTTTCTAGAGGTACCTGTTTCGAAACCAGCTGGAATAAAACGCCTAAATATCGTTACTGCGAGGTCCATCTGGAGGACACATCGTCCTCACCTTAGGCAAGCGATCGGTTTTTTTTTGTGAGGGGAAAATCATCAAATGGCTTCTCCCGCCAAGGGCCGGGCGGGAGGAAGTGTCAGACTCTTACTGACTATAAACCCCCCTGTTCCTTCTCCTGCTCTGGGACGAGGTCGCGGTGCCTTATTGCGCTTACCCCGCAACCCCGGCTGAACATCAGCCCTTTAGGGCCCCGTCTGTAGTGGTCTATTGGTTCTTTGAGGCGCGCGCGGAACCGCGCCGGAGATCGTCCCTCGATCCCCAACGCCCGTAGTGTCGCCCCTTGCGGCGGCTGGGGCGTGAGGAGGAGGATTGCTCCCTCACGCGGGCCGCCTCTCTCTTTGCGAGTATGACTGCTTCTCAAAATGAGGAGACGGCGTCCCAGTTCCTCTCACTCCGCACCATGGCCTCGACTAAGGCCAGGCGCGAGAGGTCGCCGCCGCCGATCACTTCCCTGAGGATACGGCGGTGCTCAGCCCAGGCAGGGCATATCGCTACCGTATGCTCCACCGTATCCTCTAGGTGGTCCTCACAATGACGACAATCGGGCGTTTCCTCCCGCTGGATCCGAAACAGGAACCTACCGAAGCTGCCGTACCCGGTAAGCACCTGCGTCAGGCGGAAGGTGTGGACGCCGTGGCGTCTCTCAAGCCACTCCTCAAAGAGGGGTCTTATCGCTGCTATAGTAGCATGCCCGAGGCAAGCGATCGGTGACATTTCAGTGCAGGCAAGCGATCGGTGACATTTCAGTGCAGAGTGACAGGAGGAGGAAGCTGTCTCTTCTTTTTGCGAAACGCTTGTGCTCCCAAATATGAAGACGTGGGGTAACGGTCCGAATCACGCCTGAACCTCCGCAGAAGGCACTTCTAGCGTCAGAGATCTCTGGTCTTTAATCTCCGACAGCACTTGGAAAAGGAGCATGTACGTATACTTATACCCACTTGTCACCATGTCGGTTATGGGTTACTTCAATTGAGATAGTGACAAGACAAGATAGTGTCTTTACAGATAGTGTCTTTTTGAAGGTGAATAACCAACATTCATTTCACATGGCCGACACAATCTTCAAATTATAGTCTCAGACGTAACTATGATTTACGAATAATCACTATAATAATGTATCTTCTTTCCAAAGAGCCCTGAAGTTAAGGAAACAGACAGGTTAAGGACCTAAACATCTTTAAGACCAATAAACATTTGATAAAGTTCAGCGTCCGTGAACATTGGACACTCTGTGCAGGATACGTTTGTCTGCCAGCACCCAAGCCAGCTTTGTTTGACGTGTAAATAGAAACACGATCAGCATTCTATGCATACATATAACAACCTCACGGTGGCTGGACCTGCTGAGGACAAACGTGTAATGACGTTCATCCTATTCAAAGAAATATATTTTCCAATGCCATTTAAATTACATATAACATACATAGGTCCTATCAAAGACGAAACGTCATCGAACATCAAGTATCAACATAAACAAGTAATGGATCACACTAAATCCTTTCTTAGGTTAAGTATAGATACTTAAATACTGTTAATTCTTCAACGCTATTAAAATACTATTGCAGTTTGAAATACTTAAGAATTAACAAGACCAGTAGTTTATTAACAATTATTTAGACATTAGATAATAATAGTACCTAGTAGTTTTCTGTACCTTTTAGGGATTACCTAAAGAGTTGTTCCGTGCGACACGTTGCTCATTCACTGCTACCACCTTGTAAACTCTAAAGTCACCGGCAGAACGACTCGCCGGACACAGCTCGCGCTTGTTTCTTGCACTCCATGGATCAAATTTAAGTTTTACTTATTTTCCCGTTATTGCTCTAAGGTCTGCACTACTATATAACTTGGTACTTGCCATCTTTTTAAAGTTTTCAGAAACTACCTACTAATTGTGAGCACCACACAATCCGAAATATCATGGCACTATTAAGTTATTTAACCTGCTACATTCTGGTGTATAGACCTTAGACACCATTAGTCTATTTGAAACCACCTGTTATGTTGATTAGAAAATATTAACCTGTAGTGCGTCATTTCAATCACTTAGTCATTATGAGCTGAACATCAGTTCATATACCTACATGAATATCAAGCATATGAGACCATTTTAGTACGTTTTCATCATGATCGAAGCTCAGTTCAGCATCATCCCATTGATGAACTACATATTTGATAGAACGACACTACAAACATAGTATTAAGTGTAAATGACTCTTTTAATTACCGATAGAAATGTATTTTAGAGTAATTGAAGTCTAATTTAATATGTTAGCATTAAGTAAGTACCTAATTACACAAGTAAAATGTTGTATGTTATAAGAAAGTCTTACCTAAATATCCCTGTTTCTTAGTATCATTCAGTAGCAAGTATAAATTATATATTTTTCACCACACAAATACAAATTATTAACAATATTATTTTATTACAATATTTTAGGTGGTGCTACTTTACACAATCGATTTTTTTTCATTCTTACAAAATTTTTGTGATACGATATTCCTTAGCTGTCTTTTTTGTTATACATTTAGGCAAATTAAGAGTTCTGCTTATCTTCTGCCCTCATTATAAGTTTTAGGTATGTAACTGGCGTTTAATAGTCTCAATGCTTTTCATACGCTCCGATCTATGTATGTTTTTATTCGGTTTGGCCCACACAAAGGTTACACGACAGGAAATGACTATAAGGGTCGCCGTTACCGAGAGCGGTAAACCATTTTAACATTAAAGCCATTTATTTTACTACACACATCAATTGAAAACAGACAAAATAAACATTTGGAAAAAATACGGTGTAGCAAGGCGTCCATATCTCAGTAGATATAGGTACTATTCTAATGCACAGCACTCATTTTCAGGAAAATTGACACTATTTTTGAATTTCGTTGCATTGGTACAATCAGCATAAATATGCAAGCTTATAGTAGACTCACATCTATTACGTTTTTTTTATGTGATAGGACGGCAAACGAGCAGACGGATTACCTGATGGTAAGCAATCGGCGTCGCCCATGGACACCCGCAACAAAGAAGACGACCTTTTAAGGATTGATATTTTGGGGATTTTGGGATTGGGAAGAAATTGGTGTAGGGGAAGGATTGGGCCTCCGGTAACCTCACTCACACGGCGAAACACAACGTTGTGGTTGTTTCACGCCGGTTTTCTGTGAGGCCGTGGTATCACTCCGGCCGAGTCGACCCATTCGTGCCGAAGCATGGCTCTCCCACACTTGATACCACACGTATTTTTAAATGAATATATAGGAAAGGATTTTAAATAAATAAATAGAAGTATATTTCATCGTTATTCCTAACCAAATGGATAATGGGTTCTATGTAGAAAAGAATAACTTATTATATATAGATATATTCAACACAGTAAAGCACACATATTACCATCAGAAACTCATGCATTGCGTTTTCTAGTCTCTCGTTCAAAAAGTTTTTATGTTATTTGTATAGGAAGCCTAAATGTTAAATAATTTAATTTCCACAGATACAGACGTGAAGAGAACTTTAACGCATTCGCAGTTTAGTCGCGGCGATTACCAGAACAACATTGGCCTGTTTGAACATGTGGATCCGATAGAGAGAAGCAGTTATTACGTGGGTACGTACCTAGAGGTATATTAGTTATTACATTCAAATATATACGAGGCTGTCGACATCCGCAGGGTGGCTAGTAGTGGTTGGATAAGAAGAGCTGAACATCAAGTTCAGTGGCGTGCAATTGGGGAGGCCTATCTCCAGCACTGAACGGAATCAGGCGTATGATGATGGTACATAAGGCGTATGGTAACAGTAAAAGAAGAATATCTTTCCACCAGAGTCCTGCTCTTCATATGGATGTCTTAGAAGTGAAGTAAGGGAGTATTTAACAGCAAGAACCAATTGTGGAGATTATGTTATATCTCCTTGTGTTTTTGTACAAAGGCTTTTGATTTTTTTAATAACAATGTTATAATACATTTTATAGTCATCATCATTAGCCTATAAGAGCCTACTGCTGAGCAAAGGCCTCTTCTCACACAGATAAGGTTTTAAGCATGTTCAATGCATTACAAGCATGTTCACCACGCTTGTTCAATGCATTAATAAAGTCACTTTGACTTTTCTAAAAGCTTAAAATAAAAAAATACTGAGTTAATCTTCATTTCCCAACTCGTATGCCAAATAACTGTGCAGACTGTTATATATTATGTAATATACAAATAAAAAGGAGAGAAGGGTTTTTCATAAAATATAAACCACATTTGTATCAAATCTCTATCATAAAAATATGTCAAAGGCTTTAAACATTTTGGTAATATTTTTAAATGCTCATTTCAACTTAACATTGCAGTTTTCTTTATCTGTTTTCCATTCATAGTTACGTGGAAACAGAAAATGCGATATCTGTGTTTATGTAACCACGGAAAAATCTATTTCAAATACATGAATGAAAATTAAAAAACTTGAAAAGGTTTATAAAATGCCAGTTCGTTTGAATTTCACGTAGAAATGTCAGCACCCAGTTTCAGTTTTTGATGATTTAATTTTAGTCCTTTTTATTGCGTACAACATGTAGATACGTGTGAATGAAAATCGCACTTTTTCAATTTTTATTTTATAAACCGCAATATTTGCAAAATATGGCCGGCAAATACCGGCTGATCTGGAGTCTTAGCTCTTAGTTCGTTCAGTAGAGAACGTCTTGTGAGTATTATAACAATAATAATAATTATAAAACGAATTATTTTTAAAGTTTCGAATTTCAACATCGTTGAGAAACTTTGAGTTTTGCAATTCTAGATTAGTTGAAAAAGAATTTTCTTTATATATTACTTAGTCTTATCATTATATTCAGAAGTTTTATACTACATGA